TCTTGAAATTCAACAATTAAATCTAGAAGTTACAAAATATCCCTAATAATAAAACCTAAATGATACTTATGTCGAATAAAAAGTCAAAAATCACAGMGAAAATTCTATTTCCGGTATARCTRGTCTTCGCCCCAGTCTCTCACATGAATTTGTGGACGCGCCATGCTTGAACGAGCAGGAAATCAAAATGGCGTCTGTTGGCTGACTAGAAGGTTAATTTTCTGGACATTTTACAGCATGGAAAAGCCATCAGTGGAGCAAGTTCAGAGTGTAATCAATACTTTATACTCTAATCCAGACCCGCATAGTAAAGAAAAAGCTTCAGAATGGCTGGGAAACTTGCAGAGATCGGTGAGCTCATCTTGACTTTGAAGAATTTGCCGGCATGTCCCTAGTTACGTTTTACGTTTCCTTTCAAGGTCTTTCTTTCGCCTTGCAAGCTAAAYCCTATATACTTCTTCCAAAATTCTAAGTCCTTTGTGAGTACTTGAAGTCTCATTAAATTCAAACTCAAAACATCTGTTTTGGGTGTCAAAAGGCAAAAATATTGTGCAATATTCTAGTGTCGTGGAACTAAGCTTAAAAACTGTTTTGCGTTGAAGTTTTGCATTTATTGCAGTGTTTACTATAAATTCTAAAAGTTYGACTATTCATAATTGAGCAATCTTAAAAAATATCGTGTTTTTTGGCTGTTGAATTGCTCTTGTAGGGCTAATTAACWGAGTATGTTAATTTCAGTGTTAAAACTTCTAGTATCTGTGAGTTGTTCTTGATTAATAGATCCCTTTGATCACCATAAATAGTTAAACTTCTTTGATTTATATACTAGACACATCACAAACTATCACATTATCTTAGATTGCATTTAGAATGGAGGCTTTGTATTGATAAGACCACATACTTTTGTGTTCTGACTGTGATGTGAAGCAAACATGTAGCCATGATGTTTCCTCAATTCAATGCTTTCAATGGCATCAATATTAAGAAAGGCTCTGTGATCATGACTTGTGTTATTCGTGCAGCAATCAGTCCTTTGGYACAGTTATATAAATTCTCACTAGAAGGGCTTGAAACCTGTACATGTAGTGTCAGTATCTAGTAGTGTGTTTGGGTTGGCTGCTAAAAAAAAAACAACTTGTAATGGTGACAAAGGAATGAGGCTACAATGGTTAGGTGAGAAAGCARGGCAGTAGCAAAAGAATCAGACATGCACAGAGGGAATGGAGACTTTGTGTGGCAGACTTATGCGCCTTATGGAACGGAGAGAAATGATGATGATGATATCTGTGATATACATGTGGCTATGGTTATTTTTATAAAGTATTGATTTGTCTGGGCCATATAATGTAAATATCTAATATATAGAAGTATACATGTACAAGGATAGACCCCATAAGACATAGGGCAAGTGATTGCACCAAGTTAAAGTTTTATGTCTCAGCGCTGTACATGTATGGATCATCTAGTATGGTATCTTAAATACCACTGTGGATACTATGCTATAGGACACCATGTATTATTATAGTATCCCTTCACTCTAAATGGATTACTGATTAAGCTCATGAATATGTATGATTTATTGACACTCCAGATGCATGCTTGGGAAATAGCAGACAATCTCCTGATGATGAACATMAATATAGAAACAACTTATTTTGCTGCTCAAACCATGAGAACAAAGGTACAATCATTAACAGAAATACAGGATATTACATGGKTGCAYGCAGATACAGATTTTATCATTACGTGTTGGAAAGATCCCTCACRAGTGAGCGTAGCAAGGATATAAARYCTGTWTCTCCAAGTGGMCATGCAATATTRTGTTTATCATATGAKYATCTATGAAAGCAAAATCTGTTGTAAAATAACAGTATTTATAATGGTTCAGAATTTGAAAGAATGTTGTATTTGCTTTTTTTAGATTCAGTATTGTATTAGTGAACTTCAACATCATCAGTATGAGGTTTGTACTTTGTTATTTGAGAAAAAATTATTTAATGGAATTATTTATTTAATCTGAGTATGATATTAAAGTTTATATTTGGTCAAGTTAGCTATCCCAGCTGAGATGCATTGGACATCAACCTCTGGGTTTTCCTGTTTTTTTTTGTTTTTTTTTAATATGCATCTAAATTGATATTCAGATTTTTTTGTCTTTTAGTCATTGAAAGATTCCATCATCAACCATCTGTCTAATTTACATTCTATTTCCCAACCTGTTGTCACTCAGGTAATAACAATTTCATTATTTTATTGTTAACATTTTTTTCATTTTATTCATCCATTCATGAATAATTCAATTATCTTATCTTTCAATATTTCGTTTCAGTTATGTCTTGCCTTAGCAGACCTTGCMGTCCAGATGCCTCAATGGACTGATGTAGTCTCAAGTCTATATCAAAGGTAGAGAAATTAACTGTTATATTGAATTCCTCCTATCTACACGAATAAAAACGGCTGATTATTATTTCATGAAATCAATATAAGTCTAATGATGGCTGCACTGAGTCTAGACTCCTAGKATTAGGAAGACATTGGAAAATGGCTGTAAAGACACTGAGTCATGTGGTGGACATTTGAAATTGATGGGAACTTGTTGAATATAAATTTGATTTTTTTTTCTTTGTAGGTTTGGCTCTTCCCTTGAAAGCCTGCCAATTTTATTAGAAATATTAACAGTTTTACCTGAAGAGGTAGGCCTAAATAACATTAATGTCCAAAAACATCAGTAATTTCACCTACTTTTTTAAAATGTAAATTTATCTTTTTACACAATTATAAATAACATTACTAAAGATTCCTCATTGAACTGTGAAGATAAACTATTTTGGTAATGATATTTTGAAGGTTGACAGTCATCATTTAAGAGTTGGAGCAAATAGAAGAGAAGGAGTTTTGAATGATTTAAGAGGCTCTGCTAATACTACTTTGTATTTATTGGTAAGGAAGATAAATATAAATTATGAATTAATGACTGAATGATGTGATGATGAACAAGTGATTGACAGGTTGATTGATTGTTGGTTTAAACCACTGTGGATTGACAAATGGTTGGTTTAATCATGGTGGATTGAATAATGGGTTGGTTGATTGGTTGGATCAGTCCAGACTGTCAGTATTTTCATTGCCTCACAATGACTTAAAATCTTAAAATTCGTACTCTGATTGATTGATTGATTGATCAATTAATCGATTGATTGATTGATTGATTGATTGATTGATTGATAAGATAAATGAGTAATTGATTGACATTGTATTATTGATTGTATTGACTTGTTTATTAATTGATTGATTGATTGATTGATAGGATAAATGAGTAATTGATTGACATTGTATTATTGATTGTATTGACTAGTTTATTAATTGATTGGTTGATGGTTTGATTAATGATTAATTGATTATATGATTAATTGATCGATTGTAAAATGTTAATTGACTGGTAAAAACTGATCTTTTGAATACTTAAATAATACTGACATATAATGTACACCTAATTTACAGTCAACCTGCTTAGAAAAATGTCCTGCTTCTGAGAAAATAAGAGTTAAGGTATTGTAGTACTTCTGTATGGAAGAATTTACTAAACTTTACAGTGAAACACCATCAGTCAATGCCAAAAAGATAATCTGCAAAGATTTTATACTTAAGACAGTAATTTTGTTGTTAGATTTTTCGATGTGCAGGAAGCTGGATATTACTGGGTGCTTTTCCTCCAATAGAGATTGCTAATAGTAAACTTTTATCTACAACTTTCGAAATACTTGTAAGTACTGATGTTTGCATTCATTCCATTAGAAAGTATCGCATTCTTTTAGAAGTTGGAGTATTATTATCATTGCTGTCATATAGTAATCAGTTTTCAATTTTTTTGTTGCAGTCTAATCCAACATCTAACGTTAGTGACACACTGCATGAGGCTGCGGCTGATTTTATTTGCAATGCACTTTATACTTCAGAGGTATGAAACTTTTTTCTCTTAGGCATATTTAGAATGATAATTAAAAATGTTCAAGAGCAACATAATTATCACTATCTTTTTTTTTACTCTGTTACTTATTCTGTAGTTTTCACAGGTTTTTCTGGGCTTGATAATGTTGATGATCAGCTAGTTGGTTATATGCTAGTTGGTTGGGTTAACAATTTCTTTGTAATTGTTTGAAAAGGATATTGCAAAACATCAGCCGCTTGCAGAAGCTCTTTTTAAGCAAGTCATGTTGCTYCCCCCTGCATATGAGGCAGCAATCAATGAGGAAGACTTTGATAGGTTGGTAAAATGAAATGATTTTATCATATGATAAAGAAAAAGACATTTTCAATATATTTATGAATGTTAGTTAGTTTGCTTTTGCATTTATGCAGGTGCCTGCAAACTGAAAAAAAAAGATTATTAAAGAGTGAAAAGAAAAAAAATCATTTTTTTTAGGATGCATTAAGAAACTACATGTAAYGAGGACCAGGGTCTTGTCTGTATGTTTTTTGTTCATGTACGGTTAAAATAAATTCATTCTTTTTCCTTTTTATCATAGGTCGCTAAATTTATGTCGAGTTTTTACAGAAATGGGAGAATCTTTTCTTGAACAAATTGTTCATACACCAGGAAAGGTACTGACTATAATTGTATATTTTTCGTTTTGTATTGATATTTTAGATATGAAAAATTGTAATAAAATTGAATGTCAACAATATTGAAGTCAATTGTTAATAATTATTTGATTTGTTTTTATTTGTATTTCAGAGTCTTGGAGATTTACAAACTTTAAATTTTTTATTAACCTGTGTACAGCACAATCAGTATGAGGTAAACATAGCATTATGATGGATATTTGCACCAAATAATATTTTAATGCGCCTATCAATGGTTAAGGGGGGCAACCCCAGGAGATTTTGACCTTTTTTCAAAAATCAATTAATTCCTCATCCTTGGACAATGGTTTAGAGTCCAATCCCATCTTAAACATTTGTTGATAATATTTTTGTTTCTTTTTTTTCAGATTGCAGAAGTAACATTTAATTTCTGGTATCGTTTATCGGAGTCAATTTTCAAGCTTCAAAATGAAAACCAAGTAGCCATATTTAAACCATATTTTGAAAAACTTATTGCAGCATTAAGCTTACACTGTAGGATGGAGCCTGATCATGTTAGTATGGATTAGTCAATAATTAATAACATTTAATGGATTATTAGAGTATAAGCACAAAATGTGTGCAGYAGACWGCCTCCTCCCCAGGCAACTCTTTTTTCCTACTTTGGGCTTCCTTTGTAATGGTCATCTTGGCTGCTAGGGACTAGTGACAAGAAAGGAAAAATAAGAGGAGGAGGAGTTCACACAACTCCCCTCTCTCGCCCCAATTCTCCCTATTTTTACTCCAAAAAAAGGCAGGCCTTATTCTTAGTGATGACTGCGGAAGAGGCTAATGCTTACAATGTATCACTAAATAGCACTGATTTTGCAAATGAAAATAACAAAATCAGAATAATTTATTGGTATTTACATGTATATTGCACAGCTTTATTGTTTGTACTTATTGATTGATATAAGATGTATGCAAGACATCCATGTTAAGAAACCTGTACAAAATGATCAAGAATTGCCACATCAGATATTGTTCTGTTCTGGTGTTCTCAGCTTGTCTCACATTCTGTACTTTTTCTAAACTGATTTTAGGAAGGTATACCAGGAGATGATAATGAATTTGGTGAATTCAGAGAAAGAGTGGCTGATCTTATCAAAGACTGTGTATTTATTGTTGGATCTACCAGCTGTTTTCAACAGGTCAGACAAATGTTTGTAATATTATGTAATATATATAATATGAGCTTGAGACTTTTATGTATTATAGTTTACAACACCAACTTGAATGTTATAAATGACTTATTGAATCACCAACACGAATTAACATGAAGTGCGAAAATGGCGAGCAAGGTTACTGCTGAGTTTAGTCTCTATTAATCATGCACAATTTACTGCACCAAAAAATATTTTGAATAATTATTTATCCCACATGGAAAGCAACCATTTGTTGGATAAGGGAGTGCTGCTATCTGTCTCTGCTTTCTTCAAAACCTAGTGAAGGTCTAGATGCAATATTAAAATTAAGAGCTTTGCTATTGTTGGTTTGTCTCCTTCAAGGGTGATRACTAGTGTTGTATCAGATTTACAGTACAAGGTCAATCACCTGACCAAATAGACAGCCCTGATTGGAGTAATGGTTCATGAATTATTAATGAATTTAAGCTGAGGGTATTTAAAATTGCTATCTTCAATCATGTGCAAAACTTTCCCTGGCAGTTGTTTAATCTTTATTATTTTGTTTTATCAGATGTACTTAAGTCTTGTAAACCAGAGTAGTCAATCATGGGAGATATCTGAGGCAATACTGTTCGTCATGGCAACTATTGCTAGATCTGTGAGCCTGTAAGTAATTTAAAAAGCTGAACTTGTTATTGAGATGATCGATGAAGAGCCTGCGTCTGGTTACACCATCATTGATAAGTCACCTGCAGGGCTGTCTGCTGATCTCAACCATGGCTCAATAAGACAACCTTCTTGTTTCCTGTGTTATAAAACAAAATTTATCTAGTAACAGCATATACCATTGCACCGTAGCTTCAAAGTTTATAAGAAATCATTGGGGTTTGGGTTTTTCTGCAACTTGAGGTGAAGTATGCTGCAAATCAGCTAATGACTGAACAAGTTTACAAAGCACTGACACTAAGATAGCAGAAAAACAACAAAACAAAMAAAGAAGTTGTGGTGCAATATTATATTTGCCGCAGTAATAGMCTCCTAGTTCAAAGCCTCAATTCTTGGACTTGCAATTAGGTGTATGTAATGTATGTAATTTWATTGTAATTGTTTGATCCTGTTTTTTTTGTAGAGATTCAGAACTTGTCAGTCAGTTTTTACCAGTACTACTAAACCTACCTACCAATGTCCATATTGCTGTCAAATATACAAGTATTAGAGTAATCGGTGAATTGGCAGAATGGATTGAAAAGCATCCTGATTTTATTGGTAGGACACGTTCAAATCAAGGCTAATGAATTACCTGTCAATCAATTA